ACATCACTAATTGTAATTGGACATTCTGTATTTGGAATATCTCCAACAACATCATGTGGAACTTTTAAGTATTCACTTCCTTCTGTCATTAAGATTTATGTTTGTTACATTTCCAGTTTAGTGTTCAAATACTTTTTTGGTTCATGTAGAAGAGTGAAGAACTATTGGAAGTTTATCAAGTCAAGAAGTAATTCATAATAGATTTGAAAAGAAGGCTTCTCTTTTTTACTTCCTATTTTTTAAGTTGACGTGGCTTCTTTTTTGTAGATCAGTTAGTAGCAGAAACTTTTTCGGAAAAATTAAAAAATTTTATAAAATTGTCAATCCAAAAACAAAAAAATATCAAAAAAAAAAAAACTTCGAAAAGTAAATTTTTATTTTATTTATTTGATGTTAAAAAACCCATTAACTGATGCATATTCTAATATCCAAGAAGATGAACAACAAGAAGAAAAACATTCTTCAGGAATATTGATATGGACTGTTTGGACCGTCATGACAGTATTAGCAGTTACTATATTAACAGTTTCAATAATAAGTTTAATTTTCTTCAATATTAAAATGAAAAGCACATATCAAACATTTCAACAATCTACATTAATGTTAGCACCAACTGTATTTAATCTTGATTCTAGTAGATTACCACCTCCATGTCCATATACTGGAATTGATTGGGGAGTGATGGATACTTTATTAGTTGGTAGTATGGATAAAGATAATAATTATATTGAAGTTGATTCAAATGCAACTCACTCACATTATATGCAATCTGGATTGAAAGAACAACCACCACAATCAAGAGATCATTATGAAATGGGATATGTTTTAAAGAACTCATCAATTGGTATAGTAGAATATTTAATTCAAGCAAAGCCAACATTTTCTATTAGTGGGTTAAAGAATTTGTTAATGAAAATAAATAATTATCCTAATATACCTGTTGATCAACCAGTTCGTCCTGTTATATTACAACACGTTGCTTATCAAAATGTTAAACATGTTGCAGATTCTGATGAATGTTTTGATATGTGTTATAACCAAAATTGTCAAGTAAGTGAACGTTTTATTGCAAGTGGATTACGTTCATTTTCAGTTATTGGATGGAACGATAATATTCGTTCATTAGGTATGGTTGATAGGTTGACAGGAACAAATAAAATATTTGAAGGTGGTTTTATTGTACGTTTACCTAAACAAGAAACTGGACATACGATTGGTTATTTCACTGCTAATTTTTCAGATACAATGGAAAATAGTATTTGTCCAAATGCCCATTTAGTTCAAAACTGGGAACCAGCTATTGTTACTGGTGAACTTTTTAAAGAAGAACATCCAGTTACTTCAGTTTTATCTGAAATTCATCCAACAAATTCAAAACAATTTATTTATTCAAATTTAAATAGAAAAGGTATTAAACAAAAAACAAGTCCAACTCCTCTCAAGTTAAGAGACAATATTTGTAAAGATAAAAACGATTATTGTACAAAATATAACCTTAATGAATCATTCACTTATTATATCACTTCATCTGAAAACTCTTATCCAAAATTTGTTAAAACATTTGGAAATGATATTTATGATTTATGTATGGGGTATTGTCCTCATCATAATTTTACTGACTGTAAAGTTTATGTATTAAGAGAATTATGTGATGAGTTATTAGTTAAAATATTTGTACCAACTGATGATTATATGAAAACTCATCAAAATGGATTGGAATGTTCTTATACACTTCTTCCATATGAAACATTATTAAGAATGAATTTATTAATAAGACCAACTAAAGTAAATAAATTGGGAAATTCATATATGTCATTTGTTTGTTATTCTTTTTTACATTATATTTAAATTTAATAAAACTAACTTGATTAGGACTTCTCATTTTATGACAGTAAACTTAAAACAAATCTTCCTGACGTTCAACGAACAAAATACAACCAACGTTTAAAATTTACTGACCTTCTTTTCTTTACTTCTAATTAATTTTTTTTATAAATAATTCATTCAATTTCTCTTTAATAAAAAAAGAATAAGAAAAAAAAGTGTCAATTATTAGAAATATCCACAATGGGAT